TTTTTTTTGAAAATCAACCACATTTCAGCTTTACTAATTAAAGCAAATACCATTTACACAGCTCTCTAGTTTCATACTTTTCCTTCTTTCGACACTTCTTTCCAGCTTTTTTTTTTTTTTTTTCCAGAAAACTATGTCGCATCTTATTTGCCTACCCTAATCTTTTTATTTTAACAGCAACTATAAAAAACTATCACCAGTTTTAGCCCAATAAAAAATCCCCTTCATTGTACATTATTTTCTAAATATTCTTGTTTTTCAAACTACAAGAACATAGATGAAAAATCTGCATAAAGAACATGAAGATGACTACAGCAACACTGTAGATGACTAGCAAATTATTACACAAATATATCAATCAACAAAAATTAAGCAAATAATTAAAAGATTCCAAAAAACCCCAAAAACTTTAATTTTTTGTAGACGTGAATTTTTCAACAGACTATTGTTTGACTGGAAAAAAACTAGCATCCAAAAATTGAAAAAAAATTAATCACAATTTCAATTATTCATCAAACAATTCATCATCTCATCAACAGAAGTCCTAAGCATATGAAAATCCAGTGAGTTCAAAATTCAATGATTTCTACACAGCTGTTCCTGATATTTCGGTAACCGTTAGCCAAGGCTTAGCAGATATCAGATTCGAAGCACTGTTTCCCAACAAATCGGCACCGACCGTCGTCACCGTCAATTTTTGTTTTGACAGCTTTTTTTTAATGCTGCTAGCTTGAAGCCTATCAAGACAGCTTGTTTAGAAAAGTTTTCCAAGCAGAAAACATCAAGCATCCGCTTCCTACTTCAATCAACGCCATGCACTACAAATATCCCGCTTCCGTAAGAAAAATTTCAAAAACTGAGGAAAACATGCGAAGTTTGATGCAGAAAAAACAATACACTTAGTGACTGCTAAAAATATTTGAAGGAGGTACTTTAATTTAATTTATAATTAGCTTAAAATAAATTTTTAACGACCCATAAATCAATGTTCTAGCACTGACTTTGACATCTAATAGCTTAATCATAACAGTTGACTGCTGTCGTTAGTCATAACCAACCCAGTAAATATGCTTCATTTGTTTCAAAAAGTTCAACAAAAATTTCTCCTGGCGCTGTCGTACTTGAAACTACAGTTCTACATTTCTTTTCCTTTTTCCCACTCATTTTTTTACGAGAAGCCAACATCTGCTTGATTTTTGAAAAATGAAAAAAAATAAAACGAAGCAAAAATTAAAAGCTAGTCAGTTAACAAAAATATCCACTCCGCTGATTATTCATTAAATTGCAGAACGATAACTTTGCTCATCAAAACACCAACAAAACAGTGAATACTGCCGATAAAACAACAAATATTTTAGTTTATCAAAATAAAACTAAGAAAACGTTGTGGTAATTATATTAACAAACAGTCATTTCGTTCAGTTCTTCTTCCATCTCAAAAAGCTAATTCTGTGAAAGTATACGAAAAGTGTCAAAAACACACTCTTTCAAACAAAAACCACGAATAGACACTGACGAGTTCTACTGTTATCAGACCATTTACAGACAGCTTATTCACCAGTAACCGAACAGAACCCTCATGCAAATTCTTCCACAAAGGAACTGTACATAGCACCACTAAAATTGCCGAACAACACTACCTTAAAACCATGAGCCTTCACGTTTTGCATACAGAGCTGCTCAAAAAATTGAAGAAACTTTTGAGGTTAAAAGCCCGTCAACAACGCAGTAAGTCCACAATGTCCACTATTATCAGCAGTACTTCATACCTACCAACCAAGACCATGACTTCAATAAACGCCCCAGCGAAAGAGTTCCGCTGTGTCTTTCACTACTACATGACGAAGACATTGAAAGGCAAACTTGCAAACTTGCGTGCGAAAACTTTAGGATGGCAACGAAAGACAAGTCTCCAATCCCTCCCAACAATACAAAACTTTCATAGAAAATTTTTAAAGACCTTTATAAACATCTGTTCACATTTATCGCAACTGTGATAGACCTGAACTTGTGGTATCAGTGATTGAAGGCTCATGTAGGCACAAGCTGGAAGAGAAAGATAAACTGACAAATAATCCTTAAAAGATCTATAATGGCAACCAGCAATACCACTTTCGTTGGCAAATCCATAACATAATCCCAAATTTATAAATTAACACGAAAAATAACAAGATGCAGCACAAACTCGCAATACACTCAAATGTCTTTCCTGATACGTAACTGTCAAACAAATAAATGCCAATACTACTACTACTGCACTATCACGTAAAGACTACTATGTAACCAATTGCTGCTATTTCACTTTTGAAAGAAAAACCATATAAAAGGCAGTTCAAAACTTTTAGTCTTGTCACAAAGTAGTGGCAATTCTGACACACTCAAACAACTTAAGTCTTCTCCGTCTTTCATCTAGTAACACTTATAAAAACAAAATTTTTACCCTTTGTCATCCACTCAAGCCTTCATCTAAACTCCACATAATCGATGCTGAACCGACGCTAAGGCTTTCTTTCCTAAGTACACGAGCACAGTGAGGTCCAAAATACATAGCAGTAAAGTTTTACAAGTACATAATTTACAAATAGAATGCAAAACAAATCCCACAATAAAAAACAATCTACGCGCTAAGTGCTAAAGAAAAAAATAAAAATTTAATACAGAAATCTTGTAGGCTTATCAAAAAGGGTAATGGAGATTAATTTTAATCGAGACCACCAAATACAAATTGTCAAACAGCCCAAATGTCAACTCAGTTTGATTTCCATACCCTAAAAAATGGACTAAAAACGGTCAACACACCATTACCTTTTTTTAGGTTTTTCAGCCTCCAGATAAATCACTGTTAGCAGACTGAGAACCTTCAAAACACTTTTATGTAATCTTCGAAAAAAAATGACTTCTCGTTACGAGAATATCTAAATAAATCCTTAGTTGTGAGCGAAAAAAAAGGGACATTCTTGGAAACATGTTCTAATTAAAAAATACAATAAATAACATTAAAGGCCTGTAAACGTCACTGCTCAATTAGCAGAAACTCTCAGAAACCTTAAGAATCCATTAATTCCTTATAGACGACACCGGTAAGATGTTACTAAAAATGTTTGTTACAAATGAAAACTCATAAAAAACAGAATACTTAGCAACGTATGAAACAAATGAAAAAAACCCCCTGGAAGACACAAGTTTCCCAAAAAGTATCTTCCCCACTGTACAAATAATACAAATTACAATCGCAAAAGGAATTATTCGCATAACAGTCATTTGCATTGTACAAAATAATGTAGCTCAAAATGTGTCACTGCAGCTACCGATTACAATTAATTTAAATGGATATTTCGCGACATAGAAGTTTCCTCATTTAAATTGACCGGCAAAAGTTATTAAAGCGAAAAAAAGTTTTGAACCAAGTAAAAAATTTAATGTGCCGGTCAAAAAATAAACGTTTGGTAGGAAAAATTTGTATAAAGACCAAAAGAAAGTTAAAAACACATTAATCAATTCCGTTTACTACCGGCCAAAGCTGAAGAAGCACCTTGCAACTGTTTCATCATATTCTGAAGTCCACCGATGCCACCCATATGTTGTAAAACTCTAGGGTCCATCATTTTCGCCATTTGTTGGTTTAATTTTTGCATTTGGGAAGGATTTATATTTTTCGCATTCATATCGCCGTTCTACAAAGTCGCTATTAAAAAAATAACAGTATAACCTGACAAAGAAAACATGGTAAAAAGTAAGCAACCGTAATTATTCTGGGCAAAAGATACACAATAAAAACTGGCTGTCACTTGCCACTTACTTTAAACAACCCTTTCATACTACCCATTTTTTTGACCATATCTGCAAATTTCTTGTACTGCACTAACAGTTCTTTAACTTCGCTTGTGGCAGTTCCGCTTCCACGTGCTACTCGCTGTACTCGACCAGGTTCCTTCGTAAATAAATCATTCGCTTTTGGATGGTCAAGCTCTGCAATTCAGAGTATAGCAATGACGAACTGAAAGTATTTTTTAAAGAAGTTTCATACCTGCATCTGACATGCTATCCATTATTGTCATGAGTTTTTTCAGCCGTGACTGTGACTCTTGTTCATTACCTTTAGTCATAAAATCAGGTCCGAAACCTGGTATCATGCTCTGTAAAGATGGAAGGTGTGAAAAGCAGTAAAATTTAGAAGCCAAAAGTAACTAAAACAACAAAAAAACGTTAATAAAAAAAACAAGAATGTTTAAATTCGAAAAATTGAGCATCTAATATGATTTACCATAATTTGATTGAAGGGTCCCATTTTCATAATATTTTGAAATTGTTCATACATGTCACGCAGTGTAAACATTCCTGTAACACTTTTGCCACATAAAAGCGATTACATAAAAATTAAGTCGTTGAAAGTTATAGAAAAATTGCTACTCATATAAATTCTGGTAATCTAGAGAAGGCTTTGACACTTAAAACAAGTTTACCCTACCATGTTTTAGTCGTTTTATCAATTCCTCATTATCCTCGAGGCCAATTTCATTAACTCTCTTCACAAGCCCTTCAATATCGCCCATTCCTAATAACTTCTGTACAAAAGGTTTCACTTCAAATGGTTCAAAGTCATCAATGTGTTCACCCGTACCAATAAATACGACAGGAGAATGCGTAGCAGCAACTCTTAAAGCCTACGAAATTAATTTAACGAATCTAATGTCCTAAACAAAATAAAATATGTTTTATAACAAACATTCACATTAGTTAAATAACCCTCACCCCTCCCTCCAAAAAAAGTCGATGATGCAAAACTTACGCTGACAAAGCACCACCGCCTTTTGCATGACTGTCTAACTTAGTTATTATCACGGAACCGACATCAACAGTTTCACTAAATGCCCTTGCTTGAGCCTCACATGCTTGTCCGATAGACGCATCCATGACAAAAATAATATTATTGGGGTTCTAAAGTAATTACTTCAAATACCGATGTTACTGCATGACCTGCCGATAAAATTATTAGAATTATCCGCATGGCTAAAGCCTTTCAAAAATCGAATTCATGGCAGAAAGCTGCTAAGGGGGGTATTTAGCAAAATAAATTCTTCTCAGTTCAAGCTTACCACGGCATTTGAAACCTGAAGCATTTCTTCAAACAATGACGCTTCTTGCTTGTGGCGACCAGATGTATCCACTATTATTATTTCAAAATTTTCCTGTTTGAACTTCTCGACTCCATTAGAAGCAATAACAACCGGGTCGACTTCGGAATAGCTAGACTTTACAAATCAAGTATGAAGAAAAAACATTTATAGATAATAAAATGTAAAGTTACAACTGTTAGTTTTCCAAAAGAGTACATATCATGGTTTTGAAGAAGCAATTTGGAACAATATACCTTCCATAAAACGGAATTCTAGCCTTAGTGGCATTCTGCTTCAACTGGTCGAAAGCACCAGCACGAAATGTGTCTGCACAGATTAAGCATGTTTTCCATCCCTTCTTCAGATAGTAATATGCTAGCTGACAAAGAAGTCATTTAAACCAGTTCACAATAAAAACTTCGGCACTGGAAATTGTAAAAGAAAACTTTATCACCTTTGTACAAGTGGTTGTTTTTCCAGAACCTTGGAGACCTACGAACATGAAAACGTTCGGTTTCCCTTTGGTCGGTTGAAATGGTTTGACTCCAGGGTCAACTAATTTCATCAACTCAGTGAAAACACATCTCTGAATTAGTCGACGCTTGTTCACGCCCCCTGCCATATCATCAAAATCTAAAGTTTTCCTAAAAATAAAGAAGATAGCAGAGGGAGCAAATAATCTTAGATTGAAGTTGCAAACCTAAACATCAGCAAGCATTCGACCGAAAAAGCGATCAGTAGTGAGTAAGAGTATAAAAAGTTGGTAAAAAGTATAACTTACTTGACGTTATCCTTGAGCTGCTTCACTAAACGTATGTTCACATCAGCCTCAAGCAGAGCAGCACAAACCTCTTTAAGCATAGCATTCAGCTCATCTTCATTGATAATCGTCGCCTGACCAAGCTTTCCGATTGCATTTCTAATCTTCCTACCCAAATCGGCTAACACCATTTCGGCAGGATACTATACTAAACTATCGCTGTCGCTGTGAAAAAAAAAAAAATAATAAAAAATAAAACAAAAATTATGCGAGTAAACGATCTATTCATACGAACCAGTTTACAAGACTGATAAAAGATGCTTGGTTATAAGGATGTCCTATAAGAATGCACACCATATAATAAATATATACTTTCAGTGGCAGAAGAAGATAAGACTACAACAGATGAAGAGAAAAACTTTTCGCTTACAAAAACTCGCACCAAGATAGTCTAAGTTACAGGAAAAATCATCGTAATAACTAAAAAAAGTTCTAAAAAATTTCTGGAAAGTGAAAAAAAAGAGAGTAAAAAAACGATAAACTTAATGTCCCCTCCATGCTGATAACTAAAGACCAGCAAACCTAAACCGTCACAAATAAAAAAAAAAGAACAAAAACAAAAAAAGCAAACAGTGACTAGGCATACAACATTATACACAACAACAAGACAAGGTAGGAAGTTGGGGATCAGAAGCCAGAAAATCCAAGTACAACTATCACGATACCTCCAAAAATCACCACTTTTACTTGATTGAAACTAAGTGTGCGAAGATCCTGAACTTTTGGACACAAGCAATTACAACATAACGCATGCAACAACGTTGTGGTAAATAACGACACTTGGATGTTTGGCTACTATTCAATCTTTAATTTAGATTTTCACAAATAGCAGCTAAAAATTTGAACTTGTTTTTACCGGAGGTCCGTTTGATGGTAGTAAATTTTCAAATCCTTTGCGTCGGTTCTGTATGAATCGGAATCTCGCTTGACTGGTCTTTACTGTTGAAATTTTTTACGCCTTTCCGGTTGCCATAAGTCCAGCAAGTCGAGTCACTTTCTTTTTTATGGTATTTTTTAATGAAATTACTGCTACTGTTTTACATTATTTGCACTTTGAGTAGTGCTCATTGATTTCTGCAGTGATTCTGTTTCTAGGTTATCCGATAAACGTTTAGGTAATGGCAGAAAACACTTCTTTCTGCTTCGCCAGAATTATTCAGTTTATAAATTCTGTTTTCTGTTTATAAATACCATTCTCCAGTTTTAAAGCTCTGTTTTGCCAGTACTTTTTCTACAACCAAATAATTTAAATTGCATTCAATTCTTCCGTGGTTTACAGAACTTTAAGTTCTAGACTGCTATTTGTTTTTTCTTATTTTGTTTCAGGCCTTAATTGGCGAGGTGATCACGTTATGAACTGAAGTTATAATGGCTCTATCTTTGTTTTGTATCAATAAATGCCAGTTTGATAACTGTGGCTTATATTTTGCCTCGTTATCCGATCTCATTCAGCACATTGAAGAAACACATTTACGTATGTACTTTAGCCTGCTTATTAGATGGTAAAATGCTAATAATACTCCTGAATCTATAGAGT